GCCTGGATTAAATTAATGTAACATACCTACATTTTATCAGATATCCCGTGCGGTTATATCGACGTTTATTGATTTTTACTAATAAATCAATATTTCTATTACACGGTTCAATAACTGGAATGTTACAAAATGGCATTTTGGATTTTTATTTTGAACCAAAAAATCAAATTTTTAATTAAGGGAGAAAAAATACATATAATTTTCAAAGGAAAATTATTCTCAATATAACTTAATTTAACTAAATATTTTGTAAAATTAACTTTAAAAATTTACTTTGAAGTAAAACTTTTTATTTATGTTATTTTTACCTATTTTAATAACCATTCAATTTCAACAATTTAAAGTATTATGAGGGACGTAATTTTTACGAAAGAAAATTACTTATAAGTATATTTCACCTAAAAAAAAATTTAACGGTAATTTTAACGTCAGAATATTTAATGGTTAATGTTACTCATAAGTCATAATTTTACGATATTAAGACCACTTTATAACCGTAAATAATTCCTATTCGCCTGGTATTTTTTAGGGTTATTAGTGGTAATAAATACTTTTAATATTGACTAAATAAGGAAAAATAAGCTTAAAGTGAAAAATAAAAATTTTTTTTAGGTCGCCATAATGAGTTTTTTAAGATGGCATCCATTACTTATTTAAACATTTACCTATATAATATTTTTTCATAAATATTTTTCTAAAATATAGTAAGGAAAGTTTTAGTTATTAAAAATTGATTTTTAAAAGATTTAATAAAACTTTGTAGGTTTTAAGTTTTGGTGAATATTTACCCAAGCAATAATTTTTCTTAAAACTGTAAAATATTTAGAGGGCATATAATTTTTAAGATATATCGTGCCATTTTTATCAATAAAATAAAGTACGTTTGAGTTTTAATGCAAAATATTATTAGTTTTGACAATTTAAGTTATATTTTTTTATTTTACTCTAAGGTGGCTTTTATTACTTTGTAAGTACCATTTTGTAAAATATAAATTAGGAAGGACAAAGAAATTACGAATGTGAATGTTTTAGAAAGAGAGAGAAAATAGTTAGTAATTATATCGTTATTTTTACGTAAATTTAAAAAGGTTATTATGTAGGTAAAATAACGAAATAAACCATTCCCAAAATTTGGTAATTTTTCGTATCTATACCGTTATAAAACCGTTTTGGTTAACCATAAAAAATACTTTAAAGTTGACTTTGCAGTAAATTTGTAGTTATTTAAACTTAAAATGCTGCTTGGGTAGACTTGGCAAATAAATAAAGATGATTCATTGCACAGTTATTTTATATGATGAACCCATTTTTCAGCTAAGTGACATGTGTTTCTGATGTCATTTGTTTAATAAATTACTTAGTGTGGGTTAATAATAACATTGTTTAAAAAACACATATTTTTGTAGGATTTTCCTAAATATAATTCCTAAACAAAATTTGTATAGCTTATTTTATAAGGGAAATCAATGTACCTACTTAAAAAACAAATCAGAGAAACAAATAGAGATTAAACAGTAACCTTGCCCACCTACCAAAATAATTCAAATCACCATAAAAAATTCTAAACTGCCTTTTATATTAGTTGGTTATTAGCATATTACGTGTATTGCAGCAAAACGGTTAAGTCCTACTTAAAATTGGTTTAAGTAGGAAAAATTTCATTAACGAAACCGAAACTGTTTTCTACGATAAACAATCTAGGATCTAGCACAATTACATTGGTAAATAGATTCGTACAAATCAAAGGTTTTTGCCATGCTTAAGTTAAAATATTGTGTGGTTATTTATATAATATTTAAATGTATTATTTTTTTAATGTGATATTAATAACGAATTATCTATTTATAATATAATATAATATCTACATATACATACAGTATATTACTTTTTAATTTGTTAAAATTTTGCACTTACAAATTGTTTTTTCTGATAATAATCAAAATTTTTGTGACCGATTTATTTTTAATTTTTCTTTGAAAAATATAAATGTTTGTTTTATTAACGATACCCCACAAATACCTGTTAAAAAGTAATAAAATTTTTATGAATCATCACTTTCTATTTCAATATTTATAGTATTTTTAATTTTTACCATAACTGGTAGGTTAAAATGATTAGAAAAAATATTATTACTTAATATTTTTATGATTTACATTATTTTGGTTTCTCTGTTAAATAATATCGTAACCATGTATGGGTTAGGAAGTCATTACTAAACATATGGTCTCTTGTATAGGTATATATAGTAACATATTTAAGGTTAAGGTAAATGGTGTAATAGAAATTTAATTAAAATATTGCAGAAATTTGCAGTTATGTAAATGCTTATTAACTTTTTTATATTGTATAACACCCTGTATATTCATCAAATTAAAGTGTTTATTTTTAAGTTTAGGGTAGTTTTACAATGTTAAATTTTTTATTCAAATTAAATTTTCATTTAAAAAATGAAAAAATATACCACATGTCCCAATACAAAAAAATATTTTTGAAAACCCGACGTTCAATTGTCTTTCTGTTTTTACCATAATTTTGGCACGGTGTATATTTATATATTTTTTATTATAAATAATTTTTAGGAAAATAAAGTATTTTACTTTTTTTTTTACAAAATTTATATTTTTAATAGATAGGTATTTTGTATTTTTTATATTTTTCTTAATTTTTTATATAATTTTTGGAATTTACATACAATTTTATAATTTTTAAGAATTTTTTAATTATTTTAATAGATTTAATTCAGGTTTATTTAGAAATTTTGCATATTTTCTAAAATATTTGTTTGTGAAATTTTCACAAAATATCGTTTTTTCTAATGTATCACCCTGTATATTTTTCAGGTTCAATTGCTTTTTAACTGTTTATTTTTAAGGTTAGGATAGTAATAATAATAATCTTGTTTTGTTTATTTTGTTTTAAAAAACTTTATTTTTTTAAAATCTGCCCTTAAATAACGGAGATAAACAGGTTTATGTAAAAATAAAAAAATGACGATAATTCAAAAACAAAAGCTAAAATGAGATCTACAATCTTTATTACGTGTATTTAATTTATATTGGGCCAAAGAAATTATTTTTTGTCAAATTATTTTATTATTTTTTAAAAATATTTTTTGTTTTTAAAATTAATTTCAGGGATTATTTTTTATTTCAATTTTTAAATTTTTAAAACATCCTGAATATTTTTCAAGTTCAAGTGCTTTTTTACTGTTATTTTTAAGTTTAGGGTAGTTTTACAATGTTACATTTTTGATTTAATTTTTTTTTTAAATATGTAAAAATATACCAAATGTCCCATTTAAAAAAATGTTATTTTTGGGAAAATTTCGAAAACCTTTATTTTTACCATGATTTTGGACAAGGTGTATATTTATATATTTTTTTAATAAAATTGTTCTTAAGGAAAAGAAAGTATGTATTTTAATTTTTTTAATTATTTTATTATTTTTTAAAAATATTTTTTGTTTTTAAAATTAATTTCAGGGATTATTTTTTATTTCAATTTTTAAATTTTTAAAACATCCTGTATATTTTTCAAGTTCAAGTGCTATTTTACTGTTATTAGAGATAAACAGGTTTATGTAAAAATAAAAAATGACGATAATTCAAAAAGCTAAAATGAGATCTACAATCTTTATTACGTGTATTAAATTTTTCGAATTTATATTGGGCCAAAGAAATTATTTTTTGTCAAATTATTTTATTATTTTTTAAAAATATTTTTTGTTTTTAAAATTAATTTCAGGGATTATTTTTTATTTCAATTTTTAAATTTTTAAAACATCCTGTATATTTTTCAAGTTCAAGTGCTTTTTTACTGTTATTTTTAAGTTTAGGGTAGTTTTACAATGTTACATTTTTGATTTAATTTTTTTTTAAATATGTAAAAATATACCAAATGTCCCATTTAAAAAAATGATATTTTTGGGAAAATTTCGAAAACCTTTATTTTTACCATGATTTTGGACAGGGTGTATATTTATATATTTTTTTAATAAAATTGTTCTTAACGAAAAGAAAGTATTTTAATTTTTTTTACAAAATTTATATTTTTACAGAAAGGTATTTTGTATTATTTTCATATTTCTTAATTTTTTTATATAATTTTTTGAATTTATCATACAATTTTATAATTTTTAGCAATTTTTCAATTTCTTTAATAAATTTTATTTAGATTTAGAAATATTGTATATTTTCCAAAATATTTATTGGTTTTTTAATATTTATTTTTTTGAATTATTTTATAAAAAAATTACAGGTAGGCTATTTTTAAAGAAAATATTATTAAAATATACTCAAAATGAAAAAAATTAATACACTTAGGGCCGGTTTATCAATCTCTGGTTAAGTTCCAGTTAGTCTTCCAGTCAGTTAAATTCCATATCGATCGTTGGGAGAACAATGGTATCCATGGAAATTATCTACCAGATAACTAACTGCAACTTTAACTGGACATTGATAAAACGGCCCTTATACACTTAATACACTAATAATAATAATAATAATAATTTTGTTTTGTTTATTTTTTTTTAAATGTTTCTAGATAATAAACTGACATGGGTTTATGTATGAACAAAAAAATGTGATCTACAATCTTTATTACGTGTATTAAATTTTTCGAATTTATATTAGGGAAAAAAATATTTTTTCTCAAAATTATTTTTATTTAGAATTTTTGTATATTTTTAGAAATATTTTTTGTTTTTTTATATTTTTTTTTACTTTCCATATAATTTTTTTTCATTAAAGTAAAAACAAAAGCTCTAATGAGATCTAAAACCTTTATTACGTGTATTAGATTTTTTGAATTTATATTAGGACAAAAAAATATTTTTTGTGAAAATCATTTTAATTTAGAATTTTTGTATATTTTTTAAATATTTTTTGTTAATATTTTTATAATTTTTTTACTTGCATAATTTGCAAACAGAGTAAGTTTATCTATTAGTTTTAGGAATTATTATTTATTTAAATTGCAAAATAATTTTTACCTATACTTACGAGAACGAAAAGGTATCCAGTGTGCCCCATGTCGAATTTCACCCCTTCAACAAAAAATAACAAAAGAATCCAACAGTAAACCACTGATCACAGCACCACATGAAACCCGAAAACAAATCGCTAGTCGCTCGTTGCAAAAACAAAACACTGCAGTGTGTACGCGCGCTGACCGCAAGCGTACGCGATAATCTAGTGGTCCTGTGCGGCGTTGTTGTCGTCGTTCATTTGTTCGGCGCGAGAATCCGGGGCGGCTCCGGTCGCAAACGTACGACGGCGGGCGGGTGTGTCAGAGGTCACTAGATATTGCAAGGCTGCGAGCCGCAACGGCTCGCACAGTGGTCTAAAGAAGATTGAAAGTTTTTCTTAAAAAAAAAAAAAAAGAATTTAGAGTAAAATAATGTTAGGTAAACGTGAAATCAATCTAAATGCTTACCTTCGAGCAAAAAATATTTATTGTGCAATGGTTGGGGCAAATTAGCTTTAGAAATCATTCAAATTCCTTAATCTTAATCTTAATCAATTGTTGATGGCATTAACAGGCAGGTGTTGTTTAATTATTTCTTAACCTCGACAGCCAACTATTAGCATTTGTTTCTGTGTTGGTAATCCAGGAAAAATTATTCGTTGTATCCAATCACCTCACTTACACCCTTTTTACAGGAATCCACACGAAATTTGCACCCTTTTTGCACTTGGTTTTGTTAGATCACGTGTAGAATCATTAATTGATTTTATGAATTTGAACACCGATAGCGGTGGTAGCACTATGAAAGTACGAGCGCGTTAAACGAGACCCTAGACACACGACCGTTTGCCTTAAGGTTATTAATTTTTTTATTGTTGACAACTTTAATTTTACCAACCTACGCTAACAAAATTAATGTCACAACTTATAGCCAACTTACTTATGACACTGTTGATGAAAATTATGATAGGGATTATAAAAATTGCAAACAGACACAAGTCTCTATCTAAAGTCTATTCAAATCCAAGCTGGACTAAATGTAAACACAATCCTCCGAATCCACCAATAAGAGCTCACAATCCGAGTCACACCATCAGAATCGACCGATAGAAACGAGTTATCAGGCGTCTGGGAGTTTTTGTTTAGTCCAGCTTGGATTTGAATAGACTTTAGGGATTAATTTCAAAAATATCTTATTGCACTAAAAACCCCAATATTCAATTTTTTCGACTTGTGTGGCCCATGTGCGAATTGATTTATAACTTTCTTTAGTTTCAAAAGAACATTGCCTTTTAGAAACAGGTCTAGTTTTCCTATTTCTTTGTTCTTTTCAGAGGCTTTAAGTCGTAATTTTTGTTTTTCATACCTTCTAATGCAAATTTAGGTACTACTTGTAACAAAACACATTGCAAACTGCGAACATAACCCAATTGTTGTGTTTTATATTGCCGCAATCCTCTTTAAAACCAAGTTTTTGTCAATAATAAGGTTTAGTCAGGTATAAATGTATTTTTGTGTATATTTAATAATAGGTACATTTTAAAGATGTATCACTCTTATAATGTAATAAATACATATTGAAGTATATGTAAGATAACCTACAAATCTTTACTGTCATTTAAAAATTGCTATTTTGCCAAATTGGTCAAACTTAAATCAAGTAAATTTAAATTGATATATTTTCTAACTTTATCCCACTGTGCGCCATTTCGTGATACACTTATTGGAGTCTTGTAAATTTAATAGTTAGACAGTAGCCCGCAGCATTCAAACTCATTACTAAAACGATTCCATGTGCGACGTAGTGTGCCGTGCAGGGCAGCGCTTCTTTTGTTTAAAAGCCGTGCACTTGACATTCCAAGAGAGAAAAAAGAGCAAAAGATAAAATTAATGCGAATTTTAAGATACGAACGTTGGCCGCGAGGAACGCAAATCTCGTAACACAAAGCCGCTTTAAAATTGACTTTCACCGTCTGCAAGGGATTGCATTTAAATTGTTAGCAAGCCCTCAAGGATAAAGGATTATAGCTTAATACGGGATAATAGTGCTAAACAGTAAAAAAAATCAACTCTAAGCAACACTAATTAGAGTTCACACAGGTCCACACTAAATAGTGTTGTTTTATAACACTGCAATTAGAGTTAATTTGTAGTGACATTGAATCTTTTAAACAACGTTTTAAGACTTCAAAAATTCCACCCCTATATGCGCAAACCTAGTAATACAAAAGTTATAGGCTATTTTTGATTGACGCTTATTGTCAAATTTTAACTAAAAAAAATAATAACTCCAAAACTATTCAATTCAAATAACAAAGTTTTTGTTCAAAATATTTTTGAAAAATTAACTAATTAATTGGATTAAAAACTTTTTAAAAATTTGCAGTAAATATCTTTTGTCGTTCCCCACAAACTTTTAATGGACCACGAATCTGAAACACCCTGTATATATTGTAACACAGAAACGGGAATAAAAAACGTTAAAAACAGGATTTAAATGCGGCAACATGGCGAGGTATTAAAAGTTTGCTTTTGACAGTGGCAGTGACATTTCTTTATGCAGTGTTATTTTTAATATTGGCATATTTAAGTATCGCACAAATAAAGCTTTCCTACGCTATTTTTGTGGGTTGACCCCATATTTACATTTTACATTATTCTCAATTATAATAGTTGAAGGTCTCAAAGCAATTGTTTAAAATAAGTGGCATATTAAAGGTTTTTCACATAATGCTTATATATAAGCATTATCTAACTTTAAGTATCGTACATCACCCAAATATTTTGATGTGGAAAATTATGGGAAATTTTTAACAAAAGGAAAACCTTGTAGAAATTGGGTAAAACTTACTATGATTTTATAAAGAAATAAACAAATATTCTATATATTTTAAATTTTGCGCAGTTTACAAATATTGTGGTCAATATTTACCAAATTAATTTTAGTATGTTTCAAATAAAAAAAATCACTAAATAGTTATAATTTACATATTAGTTGTTAATATTGTAAACAAAAATATAAAGAAAATAATATTTTTTTATAAAAATTTTATTGAAATACTTCTTCATTTTTTGTTTCCAAGGTAATGAGTAGGAGATACCAACGCTTGAAAAACAACAAACCTCTATGTATTTTTCAAAGTAATTTACAAAACTCATTACATTTTAAAATTTTTTAGCAACATAATTTTAAAGTTTACACTGAATTAACAATAAATAAATTAAAATTAACATTTTTATAATAAAAAATTGTCGTTTTACAGTAAAAAAAAATCATAGGTTCGTTCACCTCTTGGCAAATAAAAAAATTGCGAAAAATAAGTGGGATTCACAAACGTTTTTATGCTTCTTTAATTTGATAAGTTCAACAGTTATGTGACCTGTCTTTTAAAAAGGATAAAACACTGTAATACCCCTACGTAGCGCCTTAAAGGAAGGCAGCATGAATACATAAATTTTACATAAATTTGTATAAATGTAACATCAAGAAGAATTATGTAATTAAGTAATTGAATACGTAACTAAATTATGGGAAAATATGATGTTTTCAGTCAATGAAGGTTTGTTTCATTTATTAAGGTATGTGGTGTTCTTGTCTTAACTTATATGGGATAAGGCCACAAGTTTACTTACTTTTTTTTGTTATATAAGTGTTTATCGAAATCAGAACTTTCTTTTATTTGCTATTATTGTAAAAGGTTTTTACAAAACCATATTTTTCTTAGATTCAAATTAGTCGATTTTTAGTTTTTATTATTCAATATACAAATAAAAAAATTAAATGCTTATGAATCATGGACATATTGAGATTAAAAACATCCACCCACAAGGGGCCAGATACCAATAATTAAGTGGTCTATAAGCTTTTGCAAAACATGTACATTTAATACTTCTAATAGTCTATAACGATTAGGTGTGAATATTTTTAAGCCCACTTTTAAAACGTCACCAAAATTAATTGGAATTCATTTTGACTCATTTGCGGTTTGGAGGTTAATATCAAGGCTACTATGGTTTTGTATAATAGGAAAAAAAAATTAAATTGATAGTGCAACAACCACTTATTACGCATATTATTTGCAAAAAAAAATTCCCCATTAAGAAATTTTTTTAGAAAAAAATTGCATTGCATTTTTAAATATTTTATGGTGATTCCTTTTAAACGACCATATTTTGTTTGCTCCCACAGCAAAATATAAAGAAAATGACGGATAAACTCTTTAGAACATTATAGAAAAACATAATTTAATAAAATCTAGTCTTCATTGATTTTGTTAGCATCAATTTCAGAGGTTCTTATTTTTGTTAAATTAAACATTATTTTTTTGAAAAAAAAATAAAAAAAAGGTAGGTAGTGAAAATTTACTTTACAACTTAAGTTTAATTTGTTTAATTATTGGTGTGATCATAGAAATTAACTACGTGTTTAAATCATTTTAAATTATAACCATTATGGTAAAAGTTTATTACACAATGGAATTAAGCGATTTAAATGTCACTGGTAAAAAAATACCATTTGTCTTTGATAAACAATCGTGGGAAATAGGACTTTCCTCTATAATACCAAAGAAGTCATGAAAAAACTTATACAACTTCCATGAAGTGGTTTGAAGAAAGCAAGGAGAAGAACTTACATGAAAATATGACAATTTTGTTTAAAGAAATGCAAAATGGTATTGAATTTGATCTACCATTTGCAAAATTGAATATAGGTTATCATCTTTTGTTGTGAATCTGTCAAACTGACAAAAGCAACGTCTACAACAAAAAACTTAAGGTAGGTACTATGCTCCACACCTTAAAGTCCAACCACGTGAAAATTTGGCATTTAAGGCTTTTCAGGTTATGTTTCTGTCAAAGTATAGTCAATGAAAGAAATATTATTTATAGTGTTACCGCTTATGTTCAAGCGTTAAAAGTTAATAAATATTTATAGTAGGTATCACAATAACAATGGTTGGTTTAAGAATTTAGGAATATAAATACTGCATTTAATAAAATTCCAAAGTGTAAGGTGCAATATAAGTGATATTTTTGTGCATTGGGTCTAAATTTCTCCATAAAATAGTTTTAACTAAACAGCATTTATTAAAAAAATCTAACTTCTCTATTATGAAATAAGAATATCTGTATCAAAGGTAGGTTAATGTATTAGAACAAAAAATATCATCTAATTTTGTATTTTAAGGTTAGAAAAATCTATTTTGACCAAAATAAATAAGTGGATTATTTGGAAGAGTGTGTTAATATGG